GTCTACAAGCATTCTGCAGACATTGTGACACCTATCAGGGGGTGATTACCAGAGCATCTTCGTGAGGATGTGCAAGCGAGTTGCTCTTTCTCACAGAAGGTGATGGTCCTCTTTTCGGCTTTTGAGGTCGCTGGAAGTGTTCTTACCTATCGGGTCGTGGCGAGCTCGCGCAGCATATCGTTCCTGCGCTCCTCGCGTGTTTCCCGCGAGGCGGGCCCCCAAAGATTATATTAACACTGCTAGCCGCTGCGATCACGGCGTTTTCTTTCGCTCCCCTTGTTTTCTTTTGGGAGTCATCAATGTACTCTTGAAGTGCCCCTTCTTGATGAGCTCTTCGATAGCCTGCTTTAGAGCTCGGCACTCGTCAGTGAGGTGCCCATTATCCCGATGGTAACGCAATACTTTTTGTTGTTTCTGGCCGTAGCAGGGTTTTCATGGTCGGCTCGCCGAGCAGGCTGGCCCCTCGGATTTGTCGAGGATTGGGATACAACACTTCAGCGGAGTATATTGGGTCCCGTCGCGATCGCGACGAGAACAGGAGCATAGGACTTTTCTGCTCACGCGGGTTTTTTCCCTTTCGCTGATCGGCAATATCTCCTTTGCGATCAGCTCGCCTGTTTCCCCCGACAGGCGTACTGCTGGTGTCCGTGATCGCGCAGCGGAGTACTGCCAGTGAATTCTCTATCGAGATCTTTTCGCCAGGTATGGACTGGTGAGGGAAATGTGTCCTCAGCCTGCTTCTTTCACAGGTCGGTTTGCGGGCGAACTCCGCTATTATAAGAGTTCGGAGGACTCTCTGGTGCGTGAGCCACTTTGTTGAGCTCCCTGTGGAAGCGATCAATGTAGACTGCAGGATTCGTCTCTCTCTTGCCTTATATTGCTGAGGTAGCTCAAAGGCATTGAAAATTTCCGGTTGGCTTGGAAATGCCGCAGGAACGTGTGCTCATCTGAGCCACGAACATAGATCCCGCTGAGCGACCTGAACCACGTTGGCATGAGAGGTCAGTGTCACGGCCAACAGCGGCACTTCGCAAGGTCCAAACCTGGTGGAGCTCCATCAGGTCGTTGAACTCATATAAATGATCCTGCGGATCGTAGTTTCCATCAACGGCCGCATATCTGGCATTCTGAACCCTGGTGGAAGCGGAGCAGCAATCTTCAGGAAAAACGGGGATGTAGGCGACCTGCGCCTGCTCGTTTTGCTGCTCCCTAGCCTATCAGAGCTCGCTGGAGCTCCTCAATCGCGGTAAAGGAGCCAAATGGGGGTTTTTTCACCCATGCGAGCCCGGCCTTCCTCGGTTGCGGTTCAGGAGAGTTCGGAGGTCGGATCCCCTCACCTCACTCGCATTTCCAGCCCGCTCCACACGCTGACTAGAGCGCGTGAAGTGGTGGATAGCGGGGCTTTCACACCGCGGTGGTACGAACCGCCCCGCGAGGTGTGGTGGCCACCCGCATGAGAACGATGGGGTCGTTCTGCTGGTGTGATCGAATCATCGGCCCAGCTTTTCCTCGGGTTTGGTTGCACGTGCAGGGAACTCGGATTTACTTTTTCGCGAGTCTCGCTTGCCGAACCTGCTCGGGCGCCTTTGTACTTGCTGGCCCTTGGGAGCTCGTAGGCTTATTTTTGCCACTTCTTACCCTTGCGCTTACGCGCTGCAGTGCCGCGGCCGTCTATCCCCTTTGCCGCGCTTTCGCGCGACTTCAGGCGTTTTTGGCGGTTGCACCGCACCGGCTGTCGCGGACACATGCCTGGTCCAGACGGTCCAACCTCTGGTTGACCGTCTGGAGAGTATTGTCGAACCTTCCAGGTAGCTTCGATGGCAGGGTCCAGTTGCGGGCCGTGGGTATTCCCAACAGCATTTTGCGAAACTGGAGGTACGTGGAAGGGTGCCCCTCTGGGCTGGGGGACTCCTTCTGCATTTGATTCCCCTGCTCAGGTTCAGATTGGCGGGCCATTGTAGCTGTAAGACCAGTAGGTCAAAGTTTCCTGATGAAGGAGACGCTAAATCAGGCCCTCCTTCTAGGCCAAACTGTTGATGTCGTTTTGCGGCACCAACCAATTGTCACGTGGGTGACATGTTTTGTGAATTTAATGCACGTGACAATGGATGTCCAGTAAATATGAAAGAGCTTTTAAAGTGGTTCGGATGCTAAGGTAGCAAGTCCTACGTCCACTGATTTATTGTATTGATGTTGGTGTGGTCAGGTCGCTAAGCGGACTGACGTACATAAGAGTTAATGAAAATATGCTTTTCTTTTACAAGAGAGAGAGTTGTTTTTTTGATAAGAATGGCCGAATCCCCTAATGGAGAGTTTTCTACATTTTATATCAAATTGAACGTGTAATCATCATTAAATCTACGGGTTGGTGTGATTGTCAGGTATGATCTGCTTCACGTCCCGTTTTCCCTTTTTCCAAGCTGACTTCGCACGACTTGCTGAGAGAGAAACGGACGGTGTGAGCTCCATGTTTATTTGCAGGTCTGACGTGCGCACATTGTCCTGACGGGCAGTTACTCCTGACGTGACTTTCCCACGTCAGCCCTTCACTTTCCGTGCATACAGAATGGAGAGGTTTTCTACATTTTATATCAAATTGAAGCGTGTAATCATCATTAAATCTACGGGTTGGTGTGATTGTCAGGATATGATCTGGCTTCACGTCCCGTTTTCCCTTTTTCCAAGCTGACTTCGCACGACTTGCTGCAGAGAAACGGACGCGTGTGAGCTCCATGTTTATTTGCAGGTCTGACGTGCGCACATTGTCCTGACGGGGGCAGGTTACTCCTGACGTGACTTTCCCACGTCAGCCCTTCACTTTCCCGTGCATAACAGAAGCCCCCTAGTTTTTGAGGTTTGTGGAACGAGCCTTGGAAACTAAGTCACGTTGAAGGTTCTAGTCGTTTCGACCTGGATGGGGCGAGCTCGGCTCAAGACTCGCACCGAACACGATCTCGCGCGATTCTTTGCCTAAGCGACCTGACAATCTTCGCCCTTACGACCTGAATTCGACGAACGCTCCTTTCTGTACCTTTTAGGTTCAACGAACCTGGCCCTGCGCTGTCAGGCGTTCTGCAGGAGGGACAGCGCTTGTCTGACACATTAAATGCGCGGTATGATGACCTGACGCCGTTTTGACAGCATTAACTGCGTGGCACGTTTGAAACGGCAACCCTTATTGCCGCATTTAATGCGACGTGGGTTTTGAGTTAACGCCCCTCTTCACGGCATTTAATGCGACGTGGGGCGCATTTAATGCGGGGAGAGAGAGGGAACTGCCGTTTCGGTTCCAAGGGGTGGTAACCGTCGATTCGCTTTCCATATAAAAACTTGGCATTTTTCAGATGAAGCCACCGAGATTTCTTTCGCTTCGAGTGATAAACTTTCACAAACCCGGAATCATTTTCTTCCGATCGACGCTTTTCAGGCAACCAGGACGAGTTTCGGCCCCGGCTCCATATTTTATAGAGTAAGACTCTTTTCTTTTTGCTTGCCCCCCTCCTCTTTTTTTTTTTTTTTTTGGTGGTTTGATTGACCCACGGTGTGGGGCTTCCCGGTGTTTCACCGGAGTCGCGGCGCCGCTATTGGTTTCGAGCCGCGGATGGCGGCTTGAACCATTGCTAGATCTTAAGCATTTGTCCCTTGCCGCCGCACGGGACAAACACATAGGCCTAAATGACCATGTCTGTCGATGTTGCAGACTGAAATGGAACCGACGACATCCAGGCCCGAGGACGGAGCCAGCTCGTCCTCGCGGGGAGCTCCCGGGGACACAGCTCTCGATGTCTACTCGGCTCTCACCTCCGAGGAATATGCTAGAATAAAGAGGCAGTTCGATATCCGCTCGGAGGTGTTCCTTGACTACGCTAGGCCGTCTCGGCGCCCGGATGATGGCCTTGCCGCGATCTCCGAAGAGATCTTTAAGGGTGGAGGGAGGATTCCTTTCCATCCTTTCATCAGGTCGGTCCTGGATCATTTCGGGATCGCACCGATGCAGCTGACGCCAAACGCGTATGTCATCGCTGTTGCGATGTACATCGCGTGCTGCGAAAATGACCTGGGAGAGCCGTCAGCAGTGAAGCTCGGTGTTGCCTACTACCTGAAGAAGAGTAGGGATAAGGACTCGTATTATCTGTCTCGGCGACCTACTATTGCCGCGGGGATACACAGCTATCCCAGCAACACGGGGGCCTACGAGACAAAGTTTTTCTTTTTCATGTACGACGGTCACTGCCATTTTCAGGATCCAAGTAGGTTTCTCTTCGCTCGGTTCGTCATTTGCTCGCACGATCATTATTAATGACCTGTTTCTTTTGCAGTTAACAGAACGACCAGCCAAAACCTACTCGCTGACCCAAGCAGGCCCGTATCTTTCAGGGTATTGGACGAGGAATAACGGGACGCGAGGAAGCTCGTGACAACCGCAAACCTGCGGAAGTACGGTTTTTTTACTAACAACGCATCGTTGGAACCTCTAGAAGGTAAATTACGCTGATTTCTTTCTGGTCGTAGAATAAATTCCTTTTCTGACGAGCTTGAATACAGAAACCATGCCTCCAAAAGAGTCCGGACAGTCCCGCCGAGCGCCGTTCGTTTTCCCTCGCTTGAGGAGTGAGAGGGCGGCCGAAGCTGCCCGTGCCATTCCAGCACAACCGCTGCGAGCTTCTGCGCCTTCGCAGCCCCGTCCTGCGCAAGAGGCGACCAGGACAGAACAGGTCGCTCGGGCACCGACTGCTCGCCCCAGGCGCAAGGCTCCGGCCCAAAGGTCTAAGAAGAGGAAACAGGTCCAGGCCGAAGAGTCTGAAACTGAGTCCGAGGAAGAACCTCTGAGGACGCGCCAAGAGTCCAGGAGGTCGGGCAAAGAGCCCGTGGCAACTGGCGACAAGGCAAAGGACGCGGCTGTTCTGGACTCATTGGGGGGTCTGCCCGAGCACTTGCAGCCAATTGTCTATGGCCTGCTCGAGTGCGACCTTTCGGAGTCGTACGGCGAGTTTGCAGACACGGGCGACGACCTGATGGCCACGTCGTTCCAGCATCTGAGCAAGGTAAGCCAGCCGTACTTGAAATTTCATTTTGGTCTATTTCTAACTCATATCTTGCTCGCAGGGGTTGCTTGCGATGAGGATGTCCATGGAGAAGTCACGGCTGGGGGCCGCAAAGGGGACGAGCGACCTGCAAGAGGAGGTCGCGAAGCTGAAGCAAAGTTTGGAGTCCGCTGAGGCGGAGAGAACCCAAGCGTTCGATGCAGCGAACAGGTATCTGAACCAAAAGGACGCTGCTCAGCGAACAGTGGACTTCCAAGGGTGGAGCTCGATCGTCGTGCTGAGGAAGTCAGAGAACTTCAAAGGACAACCGGCAGGCTCTCTAAGGAGGTCGGAGAAAAGGACCAGGAGCTTCGGGCGACCTTCGAGCGGGCCCAGCGAGCTGAAGAGGATAGGCAGGCCTCCGAGCAGGAAAGGCTTGCCTTTGAGGCCGAGCTCCAGGAGAGCCGGGCAAGAGTCGCTTCTCTGACTGATGAAATGCAGAATCAGTCTGAGGAAATGGAGGAGAAGGCAGCGGACTGGGCTATCGGGTCCATCTATACCCTACGAGCTAGGAACCCGAATTTGGACACATCCAACCTCCCAGAGAGTTGGCAGGCGACCTTGCAAGTCATGGTCGAGGAGGACGACCAGGCTGCTGCGGCCGCCCAAGGGCCCGACCAGGCAGGCGGCTCTGGCTCGAAAGATATTCCCGACCAGCCTTAGGCAAACTGAATCGTCCTTTACTATAATCGGGTTTTCGGACCTTGTCGGTTTATAAATGAATGAAATTCGATTTACAGTTCGCCCTTTATATTATGTGCACGATTTACAATTTGTGATTTACATAGGCAATTGTTTACTGATTCTTACATGCGAACAGAACACATGCGAACTGTTTCGAGCGAATAAAGTAATACTTAAAAAGAAATTAACAAAATAAGAACTAAGTTCAGGATTATTGATAGTACGGCCGGAGGTGCTCGGCATTCCAAGCTCGGGGTACTTTGGAGCCATTCAATCTTTTGAGATGATAGGTCCCCGGTCTGATTACTTTGTCGACCCGGTATGGACCTTCCCAGTTAGGCCCTAGTACCCCCGCACTTGGCTCTCTGGCTCCGAGGAGAACTTCCTTTAGCACAAGGTCTCTGACCTGGAAGTCTCTTCGCTTGACCTTCGAGTCGAAGAACCTTTTTGCTCGCTGTTGGTAGGCCGCTATCCTTAGCGAAGCCTTGTTGCAGTGTTCTTCGACCAGGTCCAAACTTGCTCTCATTAGTGCTTCGTTTCCGTCTTCATTGTACAAGTCCCTCCGAAGAGACCCAGTTCCAACCTCTACAGGGATCATTGCCTCACAGCCGTGGGCTAGCGAAAACGGAGTTTCCGCGGTAGAGGTCCTTGGAGTTGTCCTGTACGCCCACAAGACTTCGGGGAGGTCATCAGCCCAATTTCCTTTGGCTGCCCTGAGCTTGGCTTTCAGGGTGTGCTTGATGGTCTTGTTGACTGCTTCAACTTGGCCATTCGCCTGCGGTCTGGCGACTGAGGCAAATTTTTTATGGATGCCCAGCTCGTCGCAGAACTGCTTGAACTCCTCATTATCGAACTGTTTTCCATTGTCTGAGATAAGGGTGTGAGGAATTCCGTAGCGGCACACTATATTCTTGAAAACGAAGTCCTTTAGCTTCCTGGTCGTGATCGCGGCTAACGGCTCGGCTTCGACCCATTTAGTGAAGTAGTCTACCGCGACCACGGCATACTTGACTCCTCCCTTTCCAGCCGGCATGGGGCCGATGAGGTCGATCCCCCACATGGAAAACGGCCATGGGCTAGTCATAGTGATCAGCTCGTGAGATGGGGCTCGCGGGATGTTCGCGAACCGCTGACACTTATCGCATCTCTTGACAAAGTTGTGCGCATCCTCTTGGATTCGGGGCCAATAGTACCCCTGGCGCACAATCTTGTTTGCAAGAGACCGAGCTGCTGTGTGGTTACCGCAGATCCCCTCATGAATTTCCCTCATGATGTAATGTGCTTCCTCGCTGGTTACACATCGGAGGAGCGGGGCACTGAATCCTCTCCTGTACAGCTGATCCCCGATGAGCGCGAAGCGAGCAGACCTTACTCGTAGGACCCTCGCCTCGACTTTATCGCTGGGCAAGGTCCCGTCCTTGAGGTACTGTACAATGGGAGTCATCCAGGAATCTGGCTGAACCTCGTTCACGGCCTGTTTGGCCGAGCTGATACTTGGAGTATTGACAAAACGAACAGGAATGTTATCAGGAGCCTCTGAATCTAGTGACGAGGCAATCTTTGCCAAGGCGTCCGCTATTGAGTTGCTCTCCCTGGGGATCTGAGCGATCTCGAAGTGCTTGAACGACCCCAAAGAGACCTTAGCTTCTTTCAGGTAGCGGATCATGTTCTCTTCCTTAGCTTGGTACTCCCCTCGGATCTGGTTGACGACCAGCATAGAGTCGCTATAAATACTGATCGCAGTTGCACCCATTTCTTTGGCGAGTCGCAACCCGGCGAGCAGAGCCTCGTACTCCGACTCATTGTTGGTCGCTTTAAACCCGAACCGGAGAATACCATGGATTCGGATCCCCTCGGGACTCACTAGGAGAAGACCCGCACCGGCTCTTTTCCTGTTCGATGACCCGTCGACGTAGAGGTTCCATGTCGACAGGTTTTGGATAGTTTCTTGCCCGACTTCGCTAGACTGTTGTTCGCTCGGGAGATAGGAGAATTCCGAGATGAAGTCTGCAACAGCCTGCCCTTTGATAGTCGACCTAGGCGTGTATCTTAAGTCGAACTGGCTCAATTCCATGGCCCATTTGAGCAGTTTACCCGAGGCCTCCGGTTTCTGGAGGACCTGCCTGAGAGGGTAGCTCGTCATTACATTGATTGTGTGGGCATGGAAGTAAGGTCGCAGCTTTCTGGACGCGACCAGCAGGGCAAAAGCTAGTCGCTCCATTTCTGGGTACCGCATCTCGGCATCCGACAGACGCTTACTTGCATAATATACCGGCCACTGAACTTTTTCCTCTTCTCGTACTAAAGCTACACTGACCGCGAACTGAGACACGGACAGGTAGATGAGCAGGATTTCTCGTGGAAGAGGCTTAGAGAGGAGTGGTGGCTTCCCAATATGCTCTTTTATACTTTGGAATGCCTGCTCGCATTCGGAAGTCCACTCGAATTTCTTATTGGCTTTCAGTACATTGAAGAATGGTAAACAGCGGTCTGTTAGCCTTGATATGAAGCGACTAAGTGCCGCTATTCGCCCGTTCAGACTCATGACCTGCCTTTTGCTGGTCGGACTTTTCATATCGAGCAAGGCTTGGATCTTTTCGGGGTTCACCTCTATGCCTCGCTGATTTACCATATACCCCAGGAACTTTCCTGATGATACTCCGAACGAGCATTTGAGAGGGTTCAGCTTCATTCTGTAGAGTCGGAGTATGTCAAACATCTCAGCGAGATGCGAAATATGATCTGTGGTGGCCTGGGATTTGACCAGCATGTCGTCCACATAGACCTCCATTGTCCTCCCGATCTGGTCGGAGAACATTCGGTTGACCAACCTCTGGTAGGTCGCGCCTGCATTCTTGAGGCCGAAGGGCATGACTTTGTAGCAATATAGCCCCCGGTCCATGATGAAGGTCGTATGCTCCTCGTCTGGCTTGTACATCGGGATTTGGTTGTATCCCGAATATGCATCCATGAAGCTTAACAGCTCGTGCCCCGAGGTGGCGTCAACGAGCTGGTCGATTCTTGGGAGGGGGAAGCTGTCTTTCGGGCAAGCCTTATTCAGGTCGCTGAAGTCTACGCAGGTCCGCCACTTGCCGTTTGGCTTCTTGACCAGGACCGGGTTAGCAACCCAGGTCGGGTAGAGAGCCTCGCGAATAGACCCATTGCGGAGAAGGTTCTCCACTTCTAATTTTAATGCGGTGTACCGCTCCGGATCCATTGCTCTTCTCTTCTGGCGAACTGGCTTAGCTTCACTGCTGACGTTCAGTGAGTGGCAAATAACGTTCGGGCTGATCCCGACCATGTCTGCGTGCGACCAGGCGAACACATCAATGTTCTCCTTCAAGAAGCTTACTAACTCGGAGGCGAGCTGAGGGTTGAGACAGCTTCCGATCTTTAGTGTTCGGCTCGGCTCTTTTGGATCAACCGAAACCTCGGACAGATCCTCAACCGGGCCGCTCCGGGGGATTTCCTGAACTCGTGGATCTATGTTATCCTCTGTCAGACCAGGCTGTGGCTCGGTCCGGCTGATCGCCATGGCATGGCGGGGTGCACATCGCGTAACGCCCTTTCCTTTGTCGGCCATCTGGACCGATTTTACATAGCATTCGCGAGACGCGCTCTGCGATTCGCTTACCTCCCCTATCCCCGTTGGAGTGGGGAACTTCATTTTGAGGTGATAGATGGAAGTGACTGCCCTGAAAGTCCTCAGTAGAGGTCGCCCTAAGATCCCATTGAAGGCTGATGGGCAGTCCACGACCAAGAATTCTGTAACCCTAGTCACCTCGTCGTAGTCGCCGAGCGTGACTGGGAGCTGGATCGTTCCATTGGGGATCAGGTGATCCCCTGTAAAACNACCAAGACCGGGTTAGCAACCCAGGTCGGGTAGAGAGCCTCGCGAATAGATCCATTGCGGAGAAGGTTCTCCACTTCTGATTTTAATGCGGCGTACCGCTCCGGATCCATTGCCCTTCTCTTTTGGCGAACTGGCTTAGCTTCACTGTTGACGTTTAGTGAATGGCATATAACGTTCTGGCTGATCCCGACCATATCTGCATGTGACCAGGCGAACACATCAATGTTCTCCTTCAAGAAGCTTACCAGCTCGGAGGCGAGCTGAGGGTTGAGACAGCTTCCGATCTTTAGCATTCGGCTCGGCTCTTTTGGATCAACCGAAACTTCGGACAAATCCTCAATCGGGCCGCTCGGGGGGATTTCCTGAACTCGCGGATCTATGTTATCCTCCGCCGGACCAGGCTGTGGCTCGATCCGGCCGATCGCCATAGCATGGCGGGGTGCGCACCGCTAAATGCCTTTTCCTTTGTCAGCCATCTGGACTGATTTTACATAGCATTCGCGAGATGCGCTTTGCGACCCGCTTACCTCCCCTATCCCCGTTGGAGTGGGGAACTTCATCTTGAGATGGTAAATGGAGGTGACTGCCCTGAAGGTTCTTAGTAGAGGTCGCCCCAGGATTCCATTGAAGGCCGACGGACAGTCCACGACCAAAAATTCGGTAACCCTTGTCACCTCGTCGTAGTCGCCGAGCGTGACTGGGAGCTGGATTGTTCCATTGGGGATCAGGTGATCCCCTGTAAAACCGTACAGAGGCATCGAGGCCGGTTTCAGGTCGGCCTCGACCAGGTTCATTCTGTCGAAAGCGGATTTGAACAGGATGTTCACGGCGCTTCCGTTGTCTACAAGCATTCTGCAGACATTATGAGACCCTATCAGGGGCGTGATTACCAGAGCATCCTCGTGAGGATGGTGCAAGCGAGCTGCCTCTTTCTCACAGAAGGTGATCGGTTCCTCTTTTCGGGCTTTTGGAGGTCGCTGCGAAGTATTCATTACTCTGATCGGGTCATGGCGTGCTTCGCGAACATATCTTTCCTGCGCTCCTCGCGTGTTTCCCGCGAGGTGCGGACCTCCGAAAATTATGTTAACACTGTCGTACCCGCTGCGGTCACGGCACTTTTTCTTTCGCTCCCCCTGGTTTTCTTTTGGGGAGTCATCAATGTACTCCTTGAAGTGCCCCTTCTTGATGAGCTCTTCGATAGCCTGCTTTAGAGCTCGGCACTCATCGGTGAGATGCCCATTTTCCCGATGATAACGGCAGTACTTTTTGTTGTTTCTAGCTGTAGCGGGGGTTTTCATTGGTTCAGGCTCTCCGAGCAGGCTAGCTTCCTCAGATTTGTCGAGGATCGCAGATATGGACGCATTCAACGGAGTGTATTGGGTCCCGTCGCAGTCGCGAAGGGGGACAGGAGCGTAGGACTTTTTCTGCTCGTGGCGGGGTTTCTTCCCTTTTCGCTGACCGTCAATGTCTCCTTTGCGATCAGCTCGCCTATTGTCTCCCCGACCTGACATACTACTGGAAGTGCCGCGATCGCGACGGCGGAGCGCTGCCAGCGAATTCTCTATTCGAAGATACTTTTCTGCCAGGTTATAGAATCTGGTGAGGGAGATATCATCCTCAGCCTGGAGTTCTTTCCACAGTTCGGTTTGTGGGCGAACTCCAGCTATTATAAGAGTTCGGATGGACTCTTCTGGTGCGTGAGCCACTTTGTTGAGCTCCTTGTGGAAACGATCAATGTAAGACTGCAGGGATTCGTCTCTCTCTTGCCTTATATTGCTGAGGTAGCTCAAAGGCATTGAAAATTTCCGGTTGGCTTGGAAATGCCGCAGGAACGTCGTGCTCATCTGAGGCCACGAACAGATAGATCCCGCTGGGAGCGACCTGAACCAACGTTTAGCGTGAGAGGTCAGCGTCACGGCCAAACAGCGGCACTTCGCAAGGTCCGAAACCTGGTGGAGCTCCATTAGGTCGTTGAACTCATATAAATGATCCTGCGGATCATAGTTTCCATCAAACGGCCGCATATCTGGCATTCTGAACCCTGGTGGAAGCGGAGCAGCTAGCACTTCAGGAGAAAACGGGGACGTAGAGGCGACCTGCGCCTGTTCGTTTTGCTGCTCCCTTAGCCTAACTAGAGCTCGCTGGAGCTCCTCAATTTGTGGTAAAGGAGCCATACCTGGGTTGTTTTCACCCATGCGAGCCCGGCCTTCCCGGTTGCGGTTCAGGAGAGTTCGGAGGTCGGATTCCTCCTCGCCTCGGCCGGTATTCCCTGCCGCGCTCGATACACGCTGACTAGAGGCGTGTGAAGGCGATGTATTGTGCGGGGCATTTTCACGACCCTCGCGGTGGTACGAACCGTCCCGCGAGGTGTGGAGGCCACCCGCATGAGAACGATCGGGGTCGTTCTGCTGGTGGTGATGGGAATCATCGCGTCCAACATTTTCGCTTGGGTTTGCCTGCGACGTGGCATGGGATAGCTCGGGATCTACTCTTTCACCGAGTCTCAGCTTTGCCGACACCCTGCTCGGGGCGCCTTTCGTATTCGCTGGCCCTTGGGAGCCCGTAGGCTTACTTTTTGCCACTTGCTTACCCTTGTGCTTACGCGCTGCAGTGCTCGCGGCACGGGCTATCGCCCTTTGCCGCGCTTTCGCGCGACCTGCAAGCGTCTTTGGCGGTTGTACCGCTTCGGCTGTCGCGGACGACATGCCTTGGTCCAGACGGTCCAACCTCTGGTTGACCGTCTGGAGAGTATTGTCGAACCTCTCCAGGTAGCTTCGGATGGCAGGGTCCAGTTGCGGAGCTGCCGGGGTATTCCCAACAGCATTTTGCGATACTGGAGGTATGCTGGAAGGGGTGTCCCTCTGGGCTGGGGGGACTCCTTCAGCATGTTGGTTCCCCTGCTCAAGTTCAGATTGGCGGGCCATTGTAGCTGTAAGACCAGCAGGTCAAAGATTCTCCTGATGAAGGGTAGACGCTAAATCAGGCCCTCCTTCTAGCGCCAAACTGTTGATGCTCGTTTCTGCACCAACCAATTGTCACGTGGGTTTTGCTATTTGATGAATTAATGCACGTGATTATGGATGCATGAAGTGAAGTAAATGCAAAAAAGACTTTTAAAGTGGTTCGGATGCTAAGGTAGCAAGTCCTACGTCCACTGATTAGTATTGATATTTGTGTGGGTCAGGTCGCGAGGCGGACTGACATACAAGAAGTTTGAAAGTGTTTTCTTTTACAAGAGAGAGAGAGTTATTTTCTGTAAAGAATGGCCGAATCCCCTTAATGGAGGGGTCTTCTTCGTTTTATATCAAATTGAAGCGTGTAATCATCATTAAATCCATGGGTTGGTGTGATTGTCAGGATGTAATCCGGCTTTACGTCCCATTTCCCTTTTTCCAAGCTGACTTCACATGACTTGCTGCAGAGGAATGGACGCGTGTGAGCTCCACATTATTTTGCAGGTCTGACGTGTGCGTGTTGCCCTGACGGGAGCAGGTCACCCTTCACGTGCCTTTCCCCTGCTAGCCCTTTGTTTTCTCGGGCATAACAATGTGATACGTGACATGCTTTTATGGATAGCTAATGATATTGAGAAGGAAAAAGAAAATTATTTAGTTGAAGCAGGCACTGGATTAACTCAAGCACCAGAGATTGGAAAATGGGTTGGAGTAAGAAAAATATCATTAATGGGCTTTGATATGATTTCGGTTTTCTCACAAACACCTAGATGCCATGATCTCCAAACTTTGTTTCTCAATAAATGTGCGTTATCATTTGTCTGTGATAACTTCTTTGACTTTATGCCTTCTCTTAAAGTTCTGGATCTGTCACTTAATCATAATCCTTCTAAATTACTGGTTGGAGTATCAAAATTGGTTTCATTACAATATCTTAATCTATCAAGTACTCTTATAAGAACGCTGCCGGTTGAACTAAAAGCCTTAACAGATCTTAAATGTTTGAACTTGGAGGATACGATCTTGCTACAAACAATTCCGCGTCAATTGATATCTAATCTTCAAAGTTTACGTACATTGAGAATGAGCAAATGTGGTACCAGTACTAAATATAGAACAAAGGATAGTGTTTTATTGGATGGTGGTGGTGAAGTATTGGTGGAGGAATGTGATTGTTTGGAATATTTAAATGTGCTGTCCATCACCTTGCGAAGTTACAATGCTCTCCAAAGACTTTTGAGCTCCGTTAAGTTACAGAGTTGTACTCAATCTCTATTCCTTAACGACTTTCATCAGTCAACGTCGTTCAATATTCCAGCTCTAGCAACTGTCAAGCATCTTTGTGAACTAGAAATTCGTGAGTGGGGCGGCTCTGATATGGTGAAGGTAGGGGATGTACAAAAAATACAGGAACCATCTAGTTTCTACAGTCTTCACAATATAAGACTATCAAATTGCGACTGTTTGAGGGATTTGACATGGATCGCTTTTATTCCAAACCTCAAGTTTCTTTCTATAGACAATTGTGATGCGATGAAAGAAATCATTAATGTTGAAAAATTGGGTGAAGTTCCAAGGATGATGTTAGATCTAATCCCTTTTCAGAAACTCCAATTTCTTTGGTTATATAGTCTAAAGAATTTGAAGAGCATCTTTGGGAAGGCCTTGCCCTTCCCACATCTAAAGGAAATTTATGTACTTGACTGCCGAAAGCTTATGAAGCTTCCACTGGATGCCAATAGTGCAAAGGAACATAAAATTGTTATCAGGGGACAGGAAGAGTGGTGGAAAAAGTTGCAATGGGAGGATGAAGCCACTCTGAATGCTTTTCTTCCTTGTTTCAAATCTTTCTGGTATGCAATTTTATCTATATTTGTTTCAAAAATTGTTGATTACTGAATGTAGCTTGTAGTGTTGTCAAGATCGCTTGAAAAATTCTTTAAAATTTTATCTAATTAAAACAATAATTATTTATATGAGCATCACAGACTCATTGAGATCTCTTTAGATTATTAATTAATTACTTCCAATATCAAATCTAACCCCAACTGCCATTTAGGATTTCTTTAAAGACTTTTCAAATATTACTTGAAGATTGGTTAGACTGAAAACCCAGAACAAATTTTTCCGTTGTTTTGAAGTATTTGTTATTTCATTAAAATGTGAAGAGCATCTATTGTGGAGGCCTTGTCTTTTGCACATCTGAAATAAATTTATTTCCAGTGCCAGATTGTTGGATGTGAAATTTGCATCACTCGCTAACTAGTTTCTTGACATATAGAATGTACTTTATGTTTTTATGTTATCGAGAACAAAGAATTTGAATCTTCTTCTCACATAAAAAATATACTAAATTTAAAATTTGCAGAAAAACATATTAGATCCTTTGTTCTGGAATGGATAGATTATTGGAAGAATATTAAACAGATTTTATGTTTTTATGTCACATAGAATATACTTTATTATCTTCTTGCAATTACCATGAATCCGCGGACTTCAAACATCTGATCTGAAAACTATGTTTATTGAATTATTTGCAGATAAAGCAATCACAATGGTGAATTTATGAGGCACTGCAAAATGCTGTTGAATGTGGCATTAGAAGCTCTACTTTGTGGTGCAAACCTGTGGAAGGTAGATAAATAGGGTTTAGATAGTTAATATACTTAATTGTGTTCTGCAATTTAATTTAGAATGGTTATTGATTGATTACTTACATGTTCTGTTAATTTCCTTTGTTTAATAGTACAACTAGTAGCCTTTCTTTCAATGGACGTTCAAAACGAGGCCATTCAAAATGATCAGCTTGATAAGAGGAATGCATGTTGTATCACATTTAACCGCCGAGCGGCAAAGCCTGATACAGCTTTTGGACAGTATTTGCATTTTTATGTGAGTGCTACAGAAGACAAGCTAGACAATGCATGCAGCCTTTTGAAGGTCAAGGATTCGAACCTCCTGGATCAACTTTAGTGATACATTCTGCTTTACCATCAGTAGTCAGATTAATCTTGACAGCATGTACTCTAAAGTCTGTGTTGTAAAGATTTTTAAAGAACTAATTCAATTCTTCCTTTCTGTGCCCAAGTTTGATATTCAAAATGGGACTGTGTTCCAGAGGAGCTAGTTTTAGCTGTGGCGCAACACAAGTGACCAAATTTTGCACTTTTACTTGCCTGATTGGGTTTTTTAGTTAGCTTCTCCTCAGTTGCAAGTCTTGTTTAAAGTAGTAATTCAATACTTCCTTTCTTTGTCCAATAAAAAATCAATTATTATTCCAAATTAATAAGAAATTTAAAGTTCATCATGTAAACTAAAGCTACAGAGTATTGAAGAGATGATAGAATTATAAGAGAGTTCAAACCTTTCACAAGGAAGAGAAATTTCTGTAACTCATTCAATAGTAGGTCTGCTGGTTGTTAAACTACCGAGTATGAAACAACAGAAACAGATGATAGAATTATACACTGAATAGATGCTCTTCAAAGTTTAAAGAATTCATTTTGCTGCAGCCTGTTCTATGAACAATTAGAAGTCTAATGGGAATTTCATCGAAGTTCACAAGGCAAACCAAAATAGGAATTAAAAGTAAGAAAGAAAATGCATAGCCAAAGTTAAATATTATAAAATTCGCTTCATCATTAATAATTATACTAATCTTGTCCTTTGAGTGCGAAATATTTGTAAAAGTACTAATCCAATTTTTCAAAATTATAAAAGATTAGATCAAACCTTGGGAAAGGAGGAGGTATGGACCTCTAATACAGTTCTGAAAAAGTAGGCCCAATGGTTGTTGCACAACCTTTCATTTTCCTAGCTCAATTAGTGCCCTCACCCTCCGAGAGATTTGAAACAAGGAAGAAAAGCATTTAGAGTGGCTTCATCCTCCCATTGTAACTCTTTCCACCACTCTTTCTGTCCCTTGATAACAATTTTATGTTCCTTTGCACTATTTGAATCTAGTGGAAGCTTCTTAAGCTTAGGGCAGTCAAATACTTCAATTTCCTTGAGATGTTGGAAGGGCAAGGCCTTCCCAAAGATGCCCAAAGATGCTCTTCAAATTCTTTAGACAATAAAATGAAAGAAACCGGAGTTTCTTAAAAGAGATTAGATCTGACATCATCTCTGGAATTGTGTTCCAGAGGAGCTAGTTTTAGCAGTGGCACAAGTGACCAGATTTTGCACTTTTACCTTTTTTTTTTTCAGTGCCCATAGTTCCAATTTTTTTATTTTCTAGATTTTGTTTTTTTTTTTTGGATAGGTGTAATCCAATGGTTAATATAGATTTATTTTTCTTTTTTGCAAGATGAAATATATCAAAATCCAACGACAAAGATAGCTTCCGGTAACCATAAACTTGGTCTGACACAGCGAGTTAGCATAACAACAAGACTAGCACTCGACTACACCTTTAAAACTAATAATAAGTCTCAATCACAGAAACTTAAGCCTTAAAATCTGAAATAAAATCTGAATAATTCATTGAGTAGCATCCAAAATGAAAAATAAGTTTATATAGAGTAACAACCAACCCTAATAAGACTCCTAATAACAAAAGGAAACAAAATCTAAATTAGTCAAAACAAGAAAACCCGAAATAAAATAAGACAAAACGCGAAAAAAACTAAAATAACCCTAAAACACGTCAAAACGGTGGATTTTGACCTCGAAAATGACCTCTAACCAACTAAACACATTGTCGGGCTCTTAAAGAGCTTTCTGTTAATATCTTACAGGCCCCAAAACTCCTCCCTAATAAAAAGTTATGGCAGTTTGAACGGGATATGCTCATTTAGGACTTTTGGGCTTTACGTATGGGCTTCTAACGCTCAGTCCGCTCTAGGAATTCATCCGCTAGACGTTCTATGTCATGGTCCAATCGAGTTGGATGATAAACAGGACAAGCAACAACAATACCTTTATTGGATACATTAATAAAGTAAAGAAACATAAAATAATCACAACAAAATTAAACTAATTGACAAATAACTGTCACAACTTACTAAATTACTACAACAATGGTAAGTCCAAATAACGGCCAGTTCCAACCTTTGTACCACGTGTACTAATAGCAAAGTCATGAATTACATTCTCAATATAGCAACATGGCAAATTAACCATCACCTTGTCTCTACAAAGACACTAGCTGCCTATCTATGAATCTCAATTTGCTCTAGATCATGCTCGATTAGGTTACCTCTTACTTTAACTTCTTCAAAATCTTCAACTGTAGCAAGAGTTGGTTTTAGGTTTTCTTGGTTTTGGTTAACCCAAGTGATGAAGATGGTAGGAAATTATGGTAGAGGGTGAAGAAGGCAGTTGAAGAAGCATTCAGTTAGACTCCATGTAGTGCATAGAATGGAGTATGATAATGAGAAACAAATAGGAAGTAAGAAATATGAGGGTGGTAAAACGAATGATGCTAGGATCGACAAAGTTAGGAGAAGAGAAAATTTTTCGGGACGCAAGAAGATGGCTTGGCCAAATGAGTATATTGTTGTTTCTTGTTTTGAGATTAATTACAAACAATATCCAATAAGTGATTTTATTGCATAAAGAATAGAAAAGTTTTCCCAAGTATATATATCAAAAGAAACATCAAAGAAATAGAAGTTTGGTTTTGGATTAAATACATGACCATTTTAGAAATTGATTGGTATGAGTATAGTTTTCATGCCTTACTATATATTACAAGCTATAGAATTGTGCTAGAAAATCTTGAGAATAGGTTGTATTAGCCAAAGTTTAGTTAAGAATGTTAGAAAGAAATTAGAATTTAGCCAAAGTATATATGTTATGCCATATGTTAGATTGAATTTACAATGATTAATATGGCGATATTGATTAATGTATAAAATGTAGCCCAAAGAAAAGAAGAAAGAAGGGCATGTATAACAATTGAAGTTGATGGTCATGTAAGAGAATGCAAATTTATGGCATTAAGATTTGTATTTAGAATATTGTACAAGGCGTATTTGTTACATTAGAAAAATATTAGAGAGTTTGATATGGTTATATGACATATAAGTTTCAGAAAAACTAGTAGTATAATTAGGCAAGTTAGTAGACTTAATACCTAAGTTGTGGCAAATTAGATTGCCCAAAATGTAGAATTCATTCCCTAGTTGAATTGTGCCATTTTAATATCTCACTAATAGAATTATAGAAGAGTAGAATTTACGATAGCTAATGTGTTTGTTTATGTGTATATTTTACATAGCATGATAAAATTGAAGAATTACAGAATTATGTAGAAATTATAGAATTATGTACGTACACATGATGCATAGAATTCAGAAATAAAGAATAAAATGGAAGATGTTTAATTTAAGCGTGTTAGTAGAATAGAACTTTGGGCTTTCCAGAAAAGTATAGAAATAAAAGCCTTAGATTTAATAGAATACATGCCAGAGTCAGACATGTATTTTAGGATAATGCATAGACAGCATATAAATGCATGACATAGCATAGCATCTATTTTAGAAATTTTATAATTATTGGAAATGTCTAACTAGTTATTTTGTAGATTTATAGAGCATGTTTTCAGAGAGCTGTTGCAATGGGGAACCTGTGAGCATTTGTTGCGTTAGCTAGTGGCGACAGAGATGTAGAAATTTCCCACATGCATGCCGCCATCAATGAGCGGCCTCAGAATAGAAAAACAGAATTGTACAGTCCGCTAAAAGTGCATATAGGTGAGGATTGTACCCAGAAAGAATTTCAGAATATGCTCACACGGCCAGGATTCCAAATCCATGCCTCAGCCTAGTCCGATCGGCAAACCAGAATAGAAAACAAGGAGAAATTCAGAAAGAAAGAAAAATAGAATAAGAAACAAAAACAGAAAGAGTTTCAAAAAGAAAGAAAAATAGAATAAGAAATAGAAAACAGAAAGAATTTCAGAAAGAAAAGAACTTTCAAAAAGGATACAAACATGATAATTTGCATATGCATCAAACATTTCATGTGCACTGCATCTTATGCATAGATTAAACAGTTTATTTATTATTCATGTCTGACTAGCTAAGAAAAGAAAATAGAAACCCATGAGAACAGAGAAGAAAAGAAAATTGAAACCCATGGGAATATAGAAAAAAAATAGAAGCCTACGAGAATAGAAAAGAAATTAAAGAGATATACAAGAAAATGACAGAAATTAGATACATGCTAGAAAAGAACAGAAAGTAAAAACATGACAAATAGCAAGAAAACTTAGTGATTTGTTGAGTAGAGAAAGAAACAGAAAGTTATAATCTAGCAGAGAAGAGAAATAAGATGATAAAGAATAGCACAACCTTAGAAGGATTTAGAAAGATTTGAGAAAAATGAAAGACTGCTAAGTAGTATGCCTAAGAATAAACAGAGAAAGCAAGCAGAAATTTAGAAGCAATACCATAGAAACGGGGACAACAAAGTAAGGGCATAATTAGATTTGGTTTACTACTGAGCATTTATAGCTCACCTTGTTGCTTTCTTTATTTTTTCAGGTATTAAATTATAGTGGTCAGGAGACATCAAGCTGGCAAAAGGTTTGCATACACTGTCTCAATGAAAAATTTAATGTGGATTTGTATATGTGAGAAATAATATTTGTGTAATAGTATGTTATAATTGGATTAAAGAGGAAAATTTTAGAAGAACACCCTTTTTAAACTAGCAATTCTCTAGATTCTCTCTATAGGATACTCAATAAATACTTGTCTAGTGAGGTATTACATTGTCATTGATAGTTTTATGGTAAATATGCCACGTTGTCACGTCAAAATATTAAGCTCAATATTTATAGTAAATATTATAAAACGCAATAGAAAAATATGAATAAGCAGGTATAAATGAAAATTATTATAACATTGTCAGATTCCATAGAAAATATAATAATATTACAATAACATTGTCAAAAATATTATAGTAAATATGTCATGTGGCTACGTCAAAAGATTTTGCATGGCCACGTGGCATATTTTTGCTTTTAGGCCAAGGAAATGCCATGTTGGAATTTTTTTTCCTTCCAACATGCTTTTGTAAACCGTGGTCTGTTTCTACTTTCTATTTTTTTTTTTTTAATTGGTTAATTTTTTTCCAATACCAAGAATCTCATTTGAGATCTCTTTATATTG